TTGCCAAATTGCTTACAGTACTTAACTAAAGAGAAGCTGGCTTGTTGAAGATCAAAGCGACAATTATGAGTTTTATTTTTGCTTTATGACTGCTCTGTATTGCTGTGATGCATTTTAAAATTCTTGTCATTATTAACTGACACAACAAAATTGTTGCATTTCAATCATTGATCATTTGATCTCTAAAAGGGCTGGAATTCACATCCATAAATTACATAAATTGCAACGTGCTGGTTTAAGTACATGCATGGAGTACTTAAGTACAAAGTAAGTATTTGACAATGAATTTCCTTCCAATTCAATGACACCATATTTGAATATAAGGAAACCTTATTATAAAATACATTTAAAGTATTTAAAGTGTATGTACAGCCCAAACTTTCTTTTTAGAGTAGGGAAGGGTTGAATCTCCTTTCATGGTATTTTTGGTATTTATTTATTTTTTGCTGTCTGTGTAATAGAAATTTCTCTTTACTTTCTGTCCCACAGACGTAACAGGAAGTAAGTGGAAATCTCCCAAAGTTAGGAGAATTCCTCATTTAGACAGTAGTCCCTGGAACAGATGTCCCTATTAGAAGATTTATCTTCACATTTCGTTCTGGGGATACTCCATAATTGACCTAAGGGTCACGGGAGGACATAAACTAGCGTTCTCCCGTGACCCAAAGCTCAGTATATCGCGAGCTACAGCTACATTACTGTCGAGATCCACCCAGCTGCGTGAGTGACAGCAGGCTCTGCCCATCTAGAGGCAGAGGCAGAGCCAGCTGTACCCACCCCCTCCCCCGTCCTTTCCGCCAGTCCTCGCTGGAGGATCGGACAGGGGCGGGGGGAATCCCAGCAGGAAGCCGTGAGTGACAGTCACGGCTCTCTGCAGGGACATGATTGAGAAGTGAGCGAGCGACGGTATGCGTTCGCTCACTTCCCGATCTATTGAGCCGACGTGTGACAGTTTAATTGTCACACGTCGGCTTGAACTATGAGGTTGAGTGATAATCACTCACCTGATAGTTCTCCTTTAAGTAAATTGACCCCCTCTATTCTGTTTCTAAGCAAATACAGTCGAAATAGCTGTGTGGGAACACACAGAGACATAGAGATTATTACTGTTGATATAGCTGTATGTGAGAGATTAACAGCCCACTATGTGCACTAAAGAGAACCAGTCACAATTTGGCATATAAAACATGTAAATATTAAGTCCAAAATCCTAAAGTACGCCTAAAGAATTACAATAATTTAAAATGGGATATCAACATTCTTGCACAAGCTAAAAGTGACAGCTTCAATTTCACATAAAATAGCCCATCAAACAATGAATTATTTTTACTTTTTAAATGTATTATTTGATCAATACATGTGCAGGATGTGCACACTATGTGCTACCATTTGTCAGCTGTATTCCAAATAGTGTTAAAATGAAATGCCACCTTCAGATACAGTAGTTAGCATATTTTAAAATAGGTTGAATGCTACATCAAGGAATTCAATATCTATCAAGATAATGGTAAAAGGAGGTCATATAATATAAAACTAGTGATAGCATATAGATAGCTTATCAGAATAAGTTATCTAAAGTTTCCTGTAGCATGAATAATTATGTGCAAACAAATCTCTAACAAATCTAATACAGCCAAAAGACTTTTCCTCTGGGAATCCCATAATTTGGAAGGATCAAACATCTATTATCTTTGGGAACTTTAGCATACAGCTGCTTAGCCTGGAGAATATGTACCAAAGCAAACGAAATCCAATCTGTTTGGCTGTGAGCAGGGGGGTATCCTTGACTGACAGCTAAATAGGCTGGGCCGGGATGACTCATAGGTTGTTAGGACACCAGCGGCTGCTGGCTACCTACCAATCAGCCTGAGGGGAAGCTGCTCAGTATTTATCTTCCCTACAGAAGGTCGGGTTTGCTAGTGGTGCTGTCTGGGCAAACTTGCCCATAAATTCGTGGTTTGGGCAAACATGCAAAGTTCATCGTGAACCCAACTAAGCAGCGAACCTGAACCTTATTCCTACTCACAAGGTACCTGGAGTTCAGCATTGCTGTTACTTCAGGCACATTTTATTTAAGTCAAGTTCACTTTAAGCTTAGGTAGTTGAATCTTTAACAGAATTAATCATACAATAATTTGAACAAATCTTAAAGAGGTGGAAGTTTGATTTTCTTTAATTAACAGTGAAAAATCAAAACTAACCACTATTATGGCAGACACACATCAATTCAAGTGTTTTGTTATTTTAAATCTTAATTAACTATATTGAGAAATAAAACAACCCTGTCACCTTGGAAACAAACCTAATCTGTGGGTGACTGGTAAAAGAAGTAGATAAATACTCATCCTTCTGCCAGATGAGAAGACAAATCTTCATTTTATTCAAGAGCTCCTGGTGTATTGGACAGCATATCCCCCACTGTATGCTATGGTTCCTCTCGTTGACCCCTACAACAGGACACTGAAGTGACGGTTCGGCGAAAGGAACCAAAGCAATTAGGTCACTTTAAAAATTCAATCAGGATTAAAAACTTCTATCTACATTTCTGCTGTGATCCTGTTAAAACACCATATGGCTTAAAGGAGAACTATGCGGTCAGGGGTGTGGAAATTTTAGAAAAAACTACTTGTCAAAGGACTAAAGCGGGGGCCGAATCTACTTGTCCCTCATGACAATCTACTTGTCCTGATAAAAAAAAAAATAATGTTAACCAAAAGCGTATTTAGCAGTGCTAAGAAGCAATCTCATTGGTCAGTGCCATCAGGTGACTGCGTTGACCAACGAGTGCTTGAATTTTGCGAGCGAAATTCAGAATACATGGAACAGGCACAGATAGTACACCCGTACTGGCGTTCTAAAATAGTGACAAAACAACTTGCCCGGCGCCCGGAACTACATGTCCCCGGGCGTCGGGCGATACGAATTCCACACCCCTGGGGGTTAAGGCTTTTCCCCATAGGGAAACGGGAGGACACAAACTAGCATCCTCCCGTCACCCTAGGCTCAGTATACCGCGAGCTGCAGCTCGCAGTATACTGAGACGCCGCAGCTGAAGCGGATCCCGACAATTATGCCGGGATCCGCCCAGCTGCGTGACTGACAGCTGGCTCTGCCTATCTAGAGGCAGAGCCAGCTGTACCCGCCCCTCCCCCGTCCGTTCCACCAGTCAGCGCTGGCGGATCGGAGCGGGGAGGGGGGACTCAGCCCCTCCCCTGTCATGGCAGAGAGCCGTGACAGGATCGAGAGGTGAGCGAACACCGGTATGTGTTCGCTCACCTCCCGATCTACTGAGCCGACCTGTGACAGTCTCATTGTCACAGGCACCTAGAACTATGAGGTCAGTGAAAAGCACTCACCTCATAGTTCTCCTTTAAACATTTTTTAAATTAGGACAATTATCTAGCTGACTGCTAATACAAAATGTATATTCAAGTAAATGTGCTGTACAATCCCTGTTTAACAACACAGGCATTTGTAATGACAATTCCCCCAATTAGAGGAACAAATCAGTTAAGACAACGCATACTCTTTTGGTATAACTTTTCTCATCTGAGATATTAGTACAGAAAATCACAATCAAAGAATAGGTAAAGACCATCAGTGAGCTAAGCAGCCAATGACTAGTGAAAAAATAACAAAGTTTTGACTTATGTCATGAAGTGTGTTTCTTGGGAGTAGGATTTTTGTACACACTATAAATACCTTTTCACTGCGTTAATTGAAGGACACAGCGGAGATCTTGAATATTTGACCATAGAATCGTAGTGCCACCTTCAGGAGTAGCACTAGGCAAAAACACAAAGGCAGAGTCTAGGGGTGGCCCCTAATGGTGGCCAAACTTCGTATTTTCTAGAGGCAGCTTAGTCACCAAGCAGCGCATAAATTCTGACTGAGTGTGTATTTCAAAATCCTTAAAGAAAAAGAAAAAATCCTACAAAAATTCTACTTTCTCTTCCATTTAATAAAGGACACAGAGGAGATCTTGAACTTCTGACCATAGGGATGTCCCAAAGCAGTGTTTACTGAGGGGTGGGAAACAAAACAATTCCCCTAAGGCAGAAAAGTGGAATGCTGCCTTTAAGACACACAAGCTGCAAACAGGACATGGAGACATAAAAAGGTAGCCTGATTAAGGAACGTGGCCCTAGAAGTCTAGAGCCCCCGAGAAAGAAGCTCAGAAAGAGATACTTCCAATGGAAGCAGTGGGTGCAAGGGAACTCAAAAGCACAAATTCAATCAGACAGAGTAGAAAAAAAAAGTCCTACTGAGGCACAAGGCCATCAGCTCAGACAACACACCTCACAGAAATTGTAGGAACCAGGAAGGCATCTCAGTAAGCAAAAAGGAAAAGAGGAATATTCCCAATAGGTTCAAAAAGAGCCAAGCACCAAGAGAACAAACTCATTGGAGTCACAGGAGAATGTACAGAAGAGGCTGTCACGCCCTCTACAAAATCCCAATCATGAAATGAAAGTCTAGCGGCCCTAGAGTGTAACCCAGATGACACATGAGTGCCAATGTAGAAATAAAACCCAACTGTACACATACACTTATGCTTTAAAGAAGTGCCTGTGACCAAACATAATCACCAAAAATGAGTGCTCCAATTTTATCAATATCTCAATACAGTAATATCTCTAAGAGTATAAAATATAACCATTTAACAACCAATGCAGCACTGATGATAATCTATTGGTAGAAAATTGTCATCTAAATTCAGTCTCAAAGAAATTGAAAACAAATTTAGTTGTGAGATTGCCCAGAATTAGTGCTGACAATGTTTCTTATAAATCAGCTAGTTCGGTATAGCTATATACACAAATGTCTAAAACAAAACCTATTTTGAATTCACATAAAAAAGCATGCAAGTAACACAAACGCAATGCTTCCCTGGAAGAGATTTCACGTATATGTGGTATACATGTAGTTAATGCATAAAGAAACATTTAATCCACAATGATAAATTGTGTATCCAAAATGAAATAGGCATACATAAATACCATAATTTTATCACTGTCAATGATGGTGTTCAGCCTGTGTGCAATTGTCAGTACTGTGCAGTCAGCAAACTTTTCCCGAATTGTCTTCTGAATCAGTTCATCTGTTCTGTAAAAAAACAAACAAACACACATGAGTGTATAGCAGTGCAGATTGTACAGTGCATGTGCTAAAGTATTTAATAGACTACATAAATTGAAGGGATATGGACTGGTTATACAAGTCAATATTTACATATATTGTTCTTAATAGATAAGGTCCGAAAGTGCCATGTTCTGGCCAAAATAGCGGTGCATCCATTCTTTCTTTCCTCGCCGCTGCTCTGTGTCCCAGCGTGGTGGAGAGAAACTGTCACAGGCGGCTGAGCGCTGCGGGAGATGAGCGCTGTGATTGGTTGACGTCTCTCCTTCCCACACCGCTCAGCCTCCTGTCACAGATCGGGAGATCAGTGTTGGCGGAGACAGGCAGTGCTGTCACAGGAGGCTGAGCTCCGTTCGCTCCTGTGACAGCATGTCACGAAGGAGAGCGGTAGAAACACTCAGCGATCAGTGATTGCTGAGTGTTTGTAATTAATTGAGGACATAGTATGTTTACTATATCCTCAATTATGAATGAATGGGAAGTGATCTAAATCACCTCCTGTTCATTCATGATTGTGGATATAATAAACATACTTTGTCCTCAAGTTATGAATGAACAAGAACACTCAGTATAGAGGATTCCTGTTCATTTATAACAGAAAAAGAGAAAAAGAGATTGAGGACTCTGTGTAAAAGGGAAATATCTGTTTAGACCCCCAATATTTCCCCAAAGCTTCTAAAAGTAAAGTAAAAAATAAAAATATTTAATAAAAATGAATAAAAATAAAATATAAAATAATTAAAAGTTTATAAAAAATAAATAAAAAATATATTTTTTTAAAGTTAGAATAAAAACATTTTCGGTTTCGGTCTGACATTTTTTTTCATTTCGGTGCACCTCTAGAACATTTACTAGTGCACAATGCAATTGAGTGGCAGTATGTCCACACTCTATTCCCCACCCCCTGGGTGATTATCCCGTTGCCCTAATAGACAAGTAGCATTTCTTCCCTATTAGGTTGCTGATGTCAAAGTGGGAGAAGCTTCTAGCCACACTGCCTTAATACCAATGTCCTCAGTGGATTCTGCAGATGAGCAGAGGTCATCCATTGGGTGGGAAGTTCCCATTAATCTGTCTTCTGTGCATTAGTTGATCAACTCATCCCTAGTTATTTATGGTCTGCTCCTAGAAAATGAAATAACTGTTGACTGGTATGAGTCTATGCATGCCCAGCTTTTTACACTAGAAAATGTTATTTCATAGTCATTCCTATTAATGTACTCTAAAATAAGTCCCAACGTTTACATGTTCCTGTTCAAAATTACTAGAATATAATCAATTAAGTGGAGCCAATATCCCAAATCTGGCTACACCTCCCATATATGCACTTCTCCTCCCACTTGACCATAAATAAATTTACTAAACTAGGAGCATATTTAGCTCCCATAGCAACTCCTTTCTTCTGTAAATAAAATCTATTTGCATACCAAAAATATGTATTCTTCATTGCAAAATCACGTCACTATAATCTATTTGTTCTTGTAGGGAAGTAGATATATTTTCTATGGCCTACCTTGCTGCTCTCTATCCCATCCTCATATTAATTATTTGTGTACAAAGATACCACATCTATAGTGTCAAAAATTAGGTTATCGTAAAATGGAATTGTATTCAGACAATTAGTAATGAGTCTAACAGAAAAGTTTGTGAGACTCATGTGATCGGCCCCATTTGCAGGTGTGAATGGGGCCAAAAGCTCCCACCCACAGCTGTCTGCACACAGCTGTTTTTACGTAGTCTCACTGCCAATGACCTGCAAAAAGGCAGGTTTTCTCCAATTTTCCCTCATGAAAAAAATTAGGTTCCCTGTATGCATTCTATTTCTTATTTTTAAAATCCATCAATGGATGGTATCTACTATAATCTGGAACAGCAATAATATGATATGAATACTCCCCTTTAAAACTCCCTCCTCATTGCACTGATCCCTCTATTGTCTATAAAATCTTCCCTATCACCATCCATCTCCTTATAGCTCCACCCCTCTGTATAGTCCACTCTTGAATTGTTTATCAATCTCCTTCATTCCATTTTCTGCAGATATAATTTTTTGGTGTTAGACTTCAAAGACACAAATTATCTTTAGGTAATTGCCATCTATAAACTTGTTTTTTCTTTTGATAATCCCAAAAAATCCCTTTGGTACTTTTTTCTTTTTACATAGTTACATATGAGAAGAAAAACCTAAACAGAACGCTATGCCCACAATTACCCACTGTTGATCCAGAGGAAGGCAAAAAGCATGGTTTTTATGTTCTGATTTTTCTTAGCAAGGGCTTCCCCCATTTTTTTAAATACTTCTCCCTACCCTAATTTCTCCCTAAATTCCTTAATATTATTTTCTACCTTTTTCCCATTTTTATTCTTCTTCCTTTGTTTAAACATGCCTAGGAATTTCCTCTCACGTTCTCAAAGATTTATATAACTCTTCCATAGACCCCTGATCTATCATTAGGGGGAAAATCCCATCTCGACATCTTAGGGGCAATTTCTTTTTTACATACTTTTCTAGTGACACTAAATCCCACCAAATTCCACTTTTTTTGTGTGTGCCTTCAATGTCTAAAGTACTTTCAAATTCACCAGATAAATGTTCTCCGATAAATGGGAATGGAAGGATGGAACAGAAGGGGAGAGCAATTAAACAGAGAGGGTGTGAGAAAGAATAAAAAGAACGAGAGAAATCTAGAATAAGGATTGTTTAATCTCAGTTAGGCAGCATTAACAAAAGAAAAAAATATGTTCCCAAAGTGAATTTAAATAAATTAATTACAAACATTGATTTGAATAGGTTTGTGAGAAAATTGAAAAAAAAAATATTATGCAACTCTAACTGGGCCCAATGCCAAGGCTAACCCAGGGGGAGTGGGAACCAATTATATGCATAGTGAGCTAAGAAATAAATCAGTTTTTAACCCTCAAAATGCAACAAGTATTGCCCTGAGGTTTTTAAACAGATAGTGGATCATGATAGAAGAAAATTAAAAGTAAAAAAATAAAATAAAAAAAATAATGAGGCAGATGACATTAAAAAACAAACTGAGAAATTCTAAAAGAAAAATACTATAGATGTCAGACTAACTGACAAAGGTGGAGGAGTTGTAATAATCAATAACGTTAACAAAATAAACCAGAAATCTAAAAAGACATAGCTGTGCTCTTCAACGACTGTGGTGCAAAACTAGGCTTCTGCAAGACTTCACCCTGTATAAAGCTGCCCTCCTAAAATATAATCCCTTCCTTCGTGCTGCCAAACAGACTTATTTTGTCACTCTCATTAACACACTCTCATTCAGACCCCGTCAACTCTTTTCTACTTTTAACTCTCTACTATGTCCCCCACCGCCTCCGCCCACTAACTCGCTCACTGCCCAGGACATTCCCATTCATTTAAAAAACAAAATAGATACAATTCGGGATCAGATCGCCATTGTCCATTCATCTTCCCCTATTAATGTACCAGACCCACCATCATGCTTGTTACTTTCCTCTTTTGACCCTGTCACCACAGAGGAGGTTACAAAGCTTTTCTCTGCCATCCACCTCACCACTTGCCCCCTGGACCCTGTTCCCTAACCACTACTCCGGTCACCCTCTTGCTCTATCCTACACTCTCTTACTCACATTTTTAATCTTTCGCTCTCTACTGGCATATTTCCCTCCCCACTAAAACATGCACTGGTCACCCCAATACCCAAAAAACCCTAACTGCCAACCTCAACAATCTCAGACTAATCTCCTTACTCCCATTCATCTCCAAACTCCTAGAACACCTTCTCTACAGCCGCCACCTCGCTGATAACAACCTTCTCGATCCCTTACAGTCCGGCTTTCGCCCACTTCACTCCCCTCCTAAAACTCACAAATGACTTATTAACAGCTAAAAACAATGGCCACTTATCCTTACTCTTGCTATTACACCTTTCTGCTGCTTTTGACACTGTTGACCACCTGCTCCTCCTCAAGAATTTCACTTGCTTGGCCTACAAGACTCTGCTCACTCATGGTTCTCCTCCTAACTATCTAAGCGCTCATTTAGTGTCACCTACAAATCTAACTCCTCCTCTTCCTGTAGGGGTCCCCCAAGGCTCTGCCCTTGGACCCCTTCTCTTCTTCTTCTACATCTCCTCCCTTGGTCAGTTAATAACCTCACATGGCTTCCAATACCATCTCTATGCCGATGACACTCAAATATATCTTTCTACTCCACAACTCACCCCCTCAGTGTCCTTGCGTGCCACAAATCTACTAACAAAATCTACTAAATCTACTGACATATCAGTCTGGATGTCACAACACTTCTTAAAACTCAACCTTTCAAAAACTCAGCTCATGATATTTCCTCCACCCCGTGCACCTTCTCCCAACATTTTCCTTGAGATTGATAACACAACTATCCAACCCACTCTCCATGCCAAGGTCCTAGGTGTCATCCTTGACTTGGACCTCACCTTTCTTCCCCACATCCAATCACTGTCCAAATCCTGCTGCCTTCACCTTCATAACATCTCCAAAATACCTCACCAATGAAACCGCTAAATTAATCACCCACTCCCTTGTTATCTCTTGTCTTGACTATTGCAACTCCCTCCTCATTGGCCTACCTCTACACAGATTATCCCCCGTTCAATCTTTCATGAATGCTGCTGCTAGACTCATTTACCTAACCCAACTGCTCAGTGTCTGCAACCCCCTCTGCCAATCCCTACACTGGCTTCCAATAGCCCTAAAGATAAAATTCTAAATATTAACAACGACTTACAAAGCCGCCTACAACTCTGCCCCTGGCTATATCTCAAACCTGGTCTCAAAGTATCATCCTAACCATCCCCTCCGCTCTTCCAAATACCTCCAGATTTCCAGCTCCCTCATCAACTTCTCCCATGCTTGTCGACAGGACTTATCTAGAGTCTCTCCCATCCTCTGGAACTCTTTACCCCAATCTGTCCGACTATCTCCCACTCTGG